AATGAATTCTTCTTCCCTTTCCTTTGTTTGTAACTGACGGAAGAGCAAGGTTCTTTCACTTGAGCGGGAGTCTTAAACGGGAAAAATCTAGAGCCAATCGCAGCCCTAGCTACACTCGAACCGAAGGCCTCACAACACAATTTCCTTGCTCTAACCTCGCACTTCCCTGTGATGTGATCTTTGCTCTGACTTATCTTTGTGTTTTAGCCAATCGAAATCGAACTCTTCTGTGCCAAAACCTTCGACGTTCTTCCCCCTACCCTGCGTGCTCGAGCTTCTCTTCCTATACCAAAGCCACTGAAATCTTTTTCATACCTTAGGAAAGAAAGCTCTGCTTCTGCGTGCTAGAGCAAGGGGTTTCTTATCCTACCTGACCCCTTAAACCCGAGCTCTCGTCCTCGCCTCGCCTCTTTCCTCCACTCGATTCTCCTAGGATGAATATATGGAAGCATGTGACCTGCCCTAACATTCACACCGAGCCGCACGTCCTTAGTCAAGCTCAGCCGAACTATTTTGCCCAACACGAGGCTTTTTTTTAAACGTTTATGTTACTTTTATGCCATTTATTTTACTTTATTATTATTTTTGTGTTGTAAAAAAAATGAAAGAAATCTGTGTTGTAATTTTATGTATATCGTTGTGTCGTCGTTAACGCCGTCGTGCTCGAAAGGTATATTATTAGGGCAATACAGAAAAATTTTAAAAAATATTCACTCGAAGAAGTGCGATTATAGAAATTAAGTATCTTTCAAGAAAAAACGCGAACTTGTTTGGAAAATCTTTTTAAAAAAATAGGGATTTTAAGATATCAGCTCGTGGGAAAGTGAGTACCCATCCATAGGGAATTAAATACCGTTCGGGGAAAACAAAGTGCCACTCGAGAAATGTTTAAATGCGAGCTAATCCTTTTGTGCAAGTATATTGAAGGTTCGTTGCTTCTTTTAAGATCATGGGTTAAGTTTATACCTTTTGCTCCCCGGTCGCAGTGTCTCACGACACTGACCAGCTTGTCTCTTAAGATAGCAGGGAAAGTTGGCATCCTCTGGTGCCCTCAAACGAGGTTTGATGCCAGGAGGCTGTCGAAAGTTTCAGTGATTTGGACTTGAAATCAACTCAGTATATTTAAAATTTCAAACTTATAATATAAATAAAAAATGTCACAATTTGAGTTTTAAAATAATTTGGGAGAACTCACATTTTTAAAATTTTAGGCTCTTAGGACTTTAAAATATTAGAGAGTTGGACTTTTGAATATCTAGGCTCTCAGGGTTTTGAAATTTTAAAATTTTTAGATATTAAAAAATAAATTTTCAAAGCTTATAATATTCAGATTTTGATTTTAATATTCCAGCTCATGAATCTATAAATATTTTGAATTTAAGCCATTCAAACTTAGGCTCTTAATGAAAAATGACTCAATTGAAGCCTTCTAAAATTTTTAACTCCCGTCATAGGATTCGCAACAGGTCTGCTAGCAAACACTAGGTGGTAAAATGTTTAAAAAGAAAAGTTATTTCAAGTTATTTGATTTAGCCCATGTTTTAAAATCATATAAATTACCTTAAGACACCAAATGTTTCAGCTAAAATAGCTCAAACATATAAAAGTTAAACGCTCACATGTTCTCCAACCAATGTATAAAATGCTCAATTACTAGGTTCGAGAATATGGCGGGGGCTAATCAGGCTGCATTGCCTATAGGATAGATTTGCAAGTCTCACCCAACTAGTCTAATCCTCCTCATCGCAAAGACTAGAGTTGACGAGTCTAGTAAACTCCAATAAATATTCAAATCCTGAAATAAGAGTTTACAAGCTCAAATCACCAAACTAATTTGATTTTCCTCTTCATAAGGACAGAAGTCGACAGGACTTATATTTTTAAACTAACAAAATTAATTGTTCTCTTCATATATAAAAGTTTAAAATATTTAATATCCCGATGATAGTCAAGTTGATAGAAGGTTTCAACTGGAGGGGCAAATCTTTTAAGTCAAGACTTTCAAAATAATCAATTAAAATATTCAAGCTAAAAATCAGTCACTAAAGACATGAAGCAAATGTCATCCACCTTCCGCAACAATTTGTTGAAGGTGACAAATCTCTAACCGACTTCAGCTCACAAAGAGCTAATTTCATATTAAATGTATCCATATATTCACAATCAAAATAATTGCATGCCAGTAAGGATGTGGCCCGAGTCATTTGCCCGTGTGATTTTGCCGCCAAATGACACCACAAAGTAACGGCTATGACCAGAGCCCTCTAACCGGGTAGTTGTCGTCAAATGCACCATTATATTACAGCCACGGTCGCAACCCGTATGTTCTCCAATAGCTTTCTGTCATTTGAGTTGTGAATCATAAAGATACAACTGATTGACATAAAGTCTTCTGTTAGCTAAGGACGACTTATATTTGTCCTGTTAGACAAGCATCCACCCCAGATCTACAAGAAACTCTTGGACGACGCAATCCATGCCTATTGATAGGAATCTTTCTGTCAGGTTGGGTCAACTATCTCCTCTGACTAAGTAGATCAAGTACGACAATGACTTGGGATGACAAAACAATGAGATCTTGATCGGGTTTTGTTTACACTCCCCCACCATCCGCTTTAAGTTTTAAGTGGTAATTCTACAATTTAAATCCAAAGTTTGCTGCTATTATATGTTGAATACTCAACTCTTAATGATTAGTCTTAATCGAAAGTGTTCTTCCATTATCGAGAGGGGTAATTAACCATAGGGGCTTGCGCTTATAGGAAACCTCAAACCCTAGATCAAAAAATCCTTGCTAAATGAGGGCAAAATCTTTGGGTAGCGTCTTCTCTACAATCAAATTTGTTTTCTAAAAATTCGACCCTCCCAAGCTTTTTCTTAAAAAAAATAAAAAATAAATGCAAATAGAGTGTCCTGGGGTGCGGTCGTGAATTTTCGGAGCCCATAGAGAGAAGTATCCAAGAGGAGGAGGAAGACACAAGTACCCACCACTACATGCTAGCATCCATGTAGATGGAGGAAATTACTTTTAATTAAGAGGAAGAAAGAGAAAATTTTCTACCCATCGAATCTTGCAAGTTTACAGTGTTACAGTTTTGAGTTAAAAACGAGCACAGAAGAAAAAATTTATTCCATCCTTTGAAATCATGGAGCTTTGCGGTTTTATAGTTCTTAAGCCAATGGATATGGATTCCTTGTTTTGATCATGGACAACCTGAGTCGTCCATTAATAAGGACCCAACAAAGTGGAAGTGTAAAGCTTCATTTATTCATACGAGAATTGATAAAAAAACAAATGAGCAAACATGCAAGTAGCAAAGAGGCCCAAATTATTTAGAGGCTGATGGGTCAAAAGCATTAGGAGTATATTGCATTTTTATTTTTGGTCTGAAGCAGATGAATTCAAAATAAAATTTTTAGGAATATGAAATGTTCAAAACAAATAATGCATTTCTAGAATGCATTTGAAATGTATCATAAACATACATTTTCTTTCCATCGGACCAAATAATTTATGCATTTCGATAATTCTGCTAAAATACATGTATTTTAACTTTTATCCAACCAAACATCCCCTTAAATTTATCAAAGCATTTCAATTTCAACCTTCAATGTTTCATATTGTAAAAAATCTAATACTCATATTGTAACGAGTTGTAAATTACCTATCAATGAAAATGGCCACACTTTCCTTTACATAACGGTGAATGTCATTCTACAAATAGGCACAGAATAAATTTTATGTGGCTCTGGAAGCCGGACTCCTCAAACTATAATTCCAAAGCAATTCAAGACGCCAACCCCCATCACTTCAGGTGCTTATGCGCCATTCCATTCAACAAACATTCAAGTTTCGGGAAAATAAATTCAAACCAATCAACCATAAATAAATATTTTTGGTTCACAAAACAAATATTTAGTGGGAATTATAATTTTGCTATCAATCAATTCTAAGCTTACTATAAAAAGCACATACCACATATACTTTTACTCTGAAAGGATAGAGAACATACCAATTATAATATTCACAGGAAGTGCGGAAACACCAAGCGAAACAGAAACAAGCACATCAAGTAGAAGTCCCCCAATCAGAATAGCAAATGCAACCCAGAGAGGACTAACGCATCCCTGAAACAACACCAACTGATATCAAAAGCAGACTAAAATTTCCTGCTAAATTAGAGTGAAAATTAGGGTATTGACCACGAAAAGGTCGTTCCAATAAAAGATAATGGCAGATGAGAGTAGTATTTTAACAATAATCCATTATGACTCAGCCACATTAGCATATATACCCTTTCACGTCCTCGTCTTCCAATATTAGAACCTCCATAGATTGAGCCGACCCTCCATACCCAATAATTTGTCTGCTTCAATAAAATAGGAAACACTAGAATAAATCTTCATTTTTTTTATTGGTAAAATCAGCCATCTGCTAGGAGATTCAATGATTCCAGTGTTAGAATTCAATTTAGAATAGTGACATATGCTTCACTTTATTAGGCATTTATCATAACATATGTATATATTGATTTTGTCACATGATAAACGAATTTATTAGCTAAAGCCAAATCTGCTCACTTATTCAAGCTAATATTCTAGTGTTGCGTGTCCGCTAAGTGGGTGCATTTGAAAAAAATTAGGACTTCTGTCAAATAAAAAATAAGGCAAAATTATATGCCCTTCAAGTTCAATAAAATTATATTATGAGTTTTATGTATCATGCTCCCTTTTTTTTACCTTTGAAAGATGCTTCTTTGCATATCAGATTTTAAGATACCCGAAATGGTTTTTTTTTTTTTTAAAGTAGATATTCTTACTTATCCACACTTGCATCTGATTAATTGAACTGTTTTAATTTGCATTACTACCAACCACATTAAAAAGACTTCAAGATGAGATGATTAAGAAATACTTTTATCCACCTTTAACGCTCTTTTAATGCACTGTCATTTTTCTCACACACTTTGGAACATAATTTGATAAGCAAATAGTTACATCGATTTAATCTTCAGCATTTGAATCATCATTGTCATTTTTCTTCAGCAATGTCATTTTTCTCACACACTTTGGAACACAATTTGATATGTTTACCTTATTTTAAACAGCACTGATAGAGTAAAACAGATTAAAACACAAACACTATCAAGCTCTATTTCATAAATATTTTTTACATTGCAAATTAAAAAGAATGTAACTGATGAATCAATCTATAAATGTACTGCACAAATTGAAGACCAAGATTTAAAAGCCAAAAAAAAAAAAAAAAACAAAAGATGTTAGATGTTGCCTTCGAAAATTTGCCCATCAAAACACGCATTTGATTCCTTCTTATAAAGGACACAAATTGTGCAAATTTTTGGTTTCTATACTTACAGCCGGTTGGGAATCCAGCAAAGGAACATTAACAGCCACTTGCCTGTACATAAAGGTTTCCAATATGAGAGCATTAATGAGGTTAGAAGAGCGCCGTATCAGCAGCAAGCAACTTACTGGCATATCTCGCATTTATTTGAACCTTTAGTGCGAAACCAAATTTCTATGCATGATCGGTGTGCTTTGGCGAGCTCACCACGGCATCCACATCCCAAATCAATTAGAGGTTCTTCTGATGGTTGCTGACAGATTCTTTTCAATTTGTATCATTAAAAGAAGGTGTTAGCAATTATGAAGCAGAAATTGGAGATTAAGTTACATAAAGTTTAATGTTATTTGAGGAAGTTCAAAAATTTACAATTGAAAAACAAATTCATTGCCTAAATGATCTGATGCAAGATATATTAATGTCTAGGACTTTTACAGGCAAATCAACACTGAAATGCTTAAAATCACACAAACATGTCGACTTAGCAATTTACCAACATTTAATCTAGAAAATTATTCACATCTTATATGAAAGCCTGAGAACAAAGAAAATCTAAACAAATGGAATTTAATCATCAACTATTGGAAATTCTGATCTGAAATTCGACAATATGAAAATACATACTATCATGCTCCAGTCAAAAATCATATCGTATCAAGTTTGACAAAACTTGACCATCGTATAATCCAATAAGTATGAAATTTGGATAACCTTATTCTTGAACAATGGTGCCTATTAATAGGCATACATGGCAAATACAATAAGAGGGAAATAAAAACTGTGAATAAATATGATAAAAGGAAGAATCATACATATCAACCCAAAATCATATAATGATAACTCATGTATGTATTTATGTCAGGTTTAGCTTGTCACGTAAGCAAATAAATGAGAAATTCTCGAGACTTCGTGAAGATATACACCACTTCTTCTAAATTAGAAATATTATGAGTGTCAATCTTGACAATCTTAGATAGCACGACAACCTATATAAATAACAATCAACCTCAATGCATTTGATCCTTTTGTGAAACATTGATTACTAGCAATATATATGGCTATCAATTGTCACAACTAAGAATCATAAGCTCATTCACTAGAATATTGAATTCTTCTAATGATATCTTAGCCCACATCATTTCACATGCAAAATGAACCATGACTATATTCTTATTTAGCACTAAATCTAGCTACAATAATTTTTTTCTCTCTCTTCTAGCTAATCAAATTACCTACTACAAAAATATATCAAAAGTTGATTTTTTTTTTTAACATCAATAGATTTAACAAAGTCGACATCAGTGAATGCTTTAAAATTAATTGCCCGGTTTAAGCATTCAACAACCCTTTTCCAAGAGCTTTCTTGATTTATGTGAGAATGCAAACAGCATCCCAATAATATTGTTCCAGATTTTATATGCTGACTTATCACCTTAACAAAAAAAAAAAAAAAATCAAGTTTTCACCTAAGCTTTAATACTGAAATTGATCATCATATGTTCTATCCTCACTCAGATGAGATAATAGGTGGCATCTTATCTCCATCTGCCAGAGATTCATCTGTTATATGCCCTCAAATCTACACATTCCTATTTTGCTATGATATGGTACAAAAACATGGATAATCAAAACATAAATCATGATTGAGGTCTTCTAAAGTAAGCCAATAATAGAGGTCTTCTAAAATATGCCGATAATAGAGGTCTTCAAAAGTACACCAATAGAAGAGGAGCGACGAGAAGCAAAGTGGCATGAGGAAGAGTAATATATAAGGATAATGCAAAGGTAGTTGTAGGAAAATATAGGGGCATTCTCATGAAAGGTGACAAAAGTTGCAGTGTATAACAATCTATTAAAGGAGCTATAACATGTATATCAATTATGAGTTCACGAGCACCTAAGCAATATTCAACAAGTGGCACATCGAAAGAGTTTATCTTATGAGCGAAAGGCATGAAGAAAATAAAGGCAACCAAATACAAATAGAGTAAGACAAGTGGATTGGAGAAAGAATATTGTTGATAATTAATTGTTCAGAAGTAGAGACAATACATAATTAATAAGGTAACAAGCAATATTAAGGAGAAGATGATTTTAAATTTTCTATGACCATATTGGACATATGCTTTGATGAGAATTTCTTTTTTTTTTAATGAGAAATTTTTTTTTATTACAAAAAACTAAGAAATTAGATTTGTACGTATTTTGAAGTATTATAAGTGTGCAAAATTTCAGTGAAATGAAAAATTAAATTTTAATTTGTAGATAAAAATTAAGAAAAATATCAAGAAATTTGATCAACATTTTAAGAAACATACCCAACTTGAGAATTATCCTGAATAAAAATAACAAAATAACAAAATCCTAATAAGTCAAAACAAAATCAAGATCCAAAATATATGAATGAGGTAAAAAATGGGCAGTAGTGCATGACAAGAATAATTGTGTGATGGAGATTCAATAGTTTTGATTATGTTGGCCCAGTCGCACAATTAGCTATGGATAGTGCAACTAATTGCATAGATTTTTTTTATTTATAGACAATTTTTAAATCCATGATAATGGATATATTAATTGGAATGTGACAAACTTAATTTGACTAAATTAAAAAATATATTCTCTTTTTTGAGTTGGTAAATTCACATATTTTTAGTATTAAAACTTTAAACAATTGATCTAACTACTTAATAATTTAAAAAATTCAATTTATGGATTCAATAAATCAAAATAAAATAAGCATATAATAATTTCATATGGTAAAATCAATCATGAATTTTTCTAAAAAAACAAAAAATTTAAAAAATCTTCATCATGCAATTCACATTCAGAAAATATTTTGTAATTCACCAAACTCCTCAAATATTTCTATAGTGTTGGGGAACCATTCTTACCCAATTAAAATATTAATCGTATTTTTGAATTTTATGAATTTTTTTCCATTTTTCAAGGACATTTAATTATATATATATATATATTTATATATATATATATATATATAGTACAGTGAAACCCCAACAAAAATATACAGATAGACTCAAAAAAAATTTAAAACATGCAGAAAACAAGTAGCATATATACATATATATATACATATATATATATATATAATGTTAGGGAACAAACCTTTACAAATGAAAATATTTAAGATATTTTGGAATTTTAAAAATAATTCATGCATATTTTATATATTTTACGATTACTAAATATACAACTATTATAGGATTCCAAGAGAATTTCTAGAAAAATGATATATATATTGCCCTTGAGCTTTAAAAAAAAAATTCCAATTTAAGACAACCATTTTGTATGATTTTTTTTGCTGATTAACTTATTTTCAAATATTTTAAAATATATAAAACTAGAAAACCATTTAAATAAATTTCATTGCTATTCTCAATGATATTATTAATCAAAGGAACATTACTTCACCATAATAATTACTTTCTATAATCTTTTTAACTAATTAAAAAATATCAACATGCATCCTTTCAAATGCAATATATATATATATATATATATAAATTGCAAGATACTACCTTTTTTTTTCCTTT